CCGCCACCACCCTGCCACCCCACGTCTTAATTGCCTTTTAATTTCAAAAGAGCTGCAGCGCGGCTCGGTGCGATGTACAACAGAGCAGGAGGGAGGTGGGCCCTCGGAGCTGCGTGTTAAACAGCGATGCTCACACAAAGCAAGGCTGCCTTGGGGGTGAAGGGTGAGGGGCTGGGGTTGTGGCGCTGCACAGAGGGCCGGGCCAAAAGCGGGGAAGGAGGAGAGCGCTTAGAAAGAGCAGCCCAGGGTCTGATGCAACCATGGCAAGTTCACTTGGTGGCAGAGGGAGGGAGGAGGGAGGGAGAGAAAGGCCTCGTTTCACCTTAACGAGAGAGCAGTCGTGTAGGCTGGCGCCTTTGCATGCTAAGGGCTGCGTGCCTTTTGAAATCTGGTGCAAGCACGGAACAAGAACGCAGAATGGCACTAGGCACAGAAATGCCTGGGAGCTGCAGTCTTTAGAAGCAGGTCTTTGCATAGCAAATCGGGGTTCCAAAAGAACATGAAACCCCAGGAATCATAGAATTGTAGAGTTGGAAAGAGATCCCGAGGGTCACCCAATCGATCTCAACAAGTGGTTACCCATCCAATTTGAAACCAGACTAGACCCTTGCAAATGTGCTAGCAGTTTTATCGCTGCACCACTAGGGTCGCCTGAGGAGAGGAGGGGCTTCATAATAATATTAATATTCATAATTTATTATTTATACCCTGCCCATCTGGCTGGGTTTCCCCAGCCACTCTGGGTAGCTCCCAGCAGAATATTAAAAACACAATAAAACATCAAACATTAAAAACTTCCCTAGGCAGGGCTGCCTTCAGATGTCTTCTAAAAGACAGATACAGTGGTACCTCGGGTTACAGACGCTTCAGGTTACAGACTCTGCTAACCCAGAAATAGTACCTCGGGTTAAGAACTGTGCTTCCGGATGAGAACAGAAATTGCACGGTGGTGGTGCAGCAGCAGCGGGAGGCCCCATTAACTAAAGTGGTGCTTCAGGTTAAGAACAGTTTCAGGTTAAGAACGGACCTCCGGAACGAATTAAGTACGTAACCAGAGGTACCACTGTAGTTGTTTATTTCCTTGATATCGGATGCGAGGGCGTTCCACAGGGAGGGTGCCACTACCCAGAAGGCCCTCTGCCTGGTTCCCTGTAACTTCACCCCTCACAGCGAGGGAACCGCCAGAAGGCCCTTGGAGCTGGACCTCAGTGACCACTGGACCTTCAGTGCTCCTTGCCCCTTCCCCCTAGCTAGCAGGAGCAGAATATTATTGAGAGCAAGCAAATCAGTTCAATTGCACTTCATCAGAGCAATGGTTGCAGAATTCAGCTTTTCGTGATACAGAGTTTGGGCTGCCCTTGGTACTAAACGTCTGGGTGGTTTTTGTTTTGTTGTGAAGAACACAAGAGTACATGCAGCTGTGAAGTAAGGGCCTTTTGGTGCAGGCTCTTTCTGTACCAGGGATCTTTCCCGGGCACTGAGATAAAGCCGCTGTCTCTTGGAAGGAGGGACTGCTATTTATAAAGCATTTCCTCATCTGGTGCTGTTGATTACAGCTGCAGCCGCAAGCATATAGGCAATTATAGGTAGCAGCCTAGGGCAATCATTTGTAAGGTTAGCACCTCTGTTGCAGCAGCAGATGGAATGGCCCTTCGCTGCAAAGTGCCACTGTGATGCAAAGAAGGACGGAAGGAAGGAAGGAAGGAAGGAAGGAAGGAAGGACGGAAGGAAGGAAGGAAGGAAGGAAGGAAGGAAGGAAGGAAGGAAGGAAGGATTCCTGTATAGAAGTGAAGTATTGGGAGGCTTGGCAGTGGGCGAAGGCAACCTAGCAGCATGTTGGGATGGGAGAAGTCCAATGAGAGATTTTAGTGAACAGTAGGAACCAATTCCCATAGATGCTGCATGCACAGCTCATGACTTCCCCCAGAGAACCCTGGGACAGGGGTCAGCAACCTTTTTCAGCCGTGGGCCGGTCCACTGTCCCTCAGACCATGTGGTGGGCCGGACTATATTTTGAAAAAATAATAATGAACAAATTCCTAAGCCCCACAAATAACCCAGAGATGCATTTTAAATAAAAGGACACATTCTACTCATGTAAAAACATTGCTGATTCCCGGACCATCCGTGGGCTGGATTTAGAAGGCGATTGGGCCGTATCCAGCCCGCGGGCCTTAGGTTGCCTACCCCTGCCCTGGAAACTGTAGTTTAAGGGTGCTGGGAATTGTAGCACCGTGTGTGGTAAACTAGAGTTCCAGGAGTCTTCGGGGGAAGATGTGGGCTTTAAAGCATTTGGTGGGTGGCACTGTGGTCTAAACCACAGAGCCTCTTGGGTTTGCTGATCAGAAGCTTGGCAGTTTGAATCCCTGTGATGGGGTGAGCTCCCGTTGCTCTGTCGAAAGCACGCCAGTGCAAGTAGATTAATAGGTACCGTTCGAAAGCACGCCAGTGCAAGTAGATTAATAGGTACCGTTCGAAAGCACGCCAGTGCAAGTAGATTAATAGGTACCGTTGTGGCAGGAAGGTAAACAGCGTTTCCATGCACTCTGGTTTCCATTAGTGTTCCATTGCACCAGAAGCGGTTTAGTCATGCTGGCCTGGGTACTGCCTGATTAGTGTGACCTGCAACAGGTCTGGTTCTCCATTTGCGAAATTCCCTCCCTGGGGAAGTGCATGTGTCTCCCATATTATTAACACTCATGGGGAATTTAGAAGGATCCCTGCTCATCCAGCAATTTGATGGCTGAGAGATGCTGTTCCTGGAATCCTTACCTTGAAATGCTTAGCTGTGAGCATATGTTGACTGATTTAAAACGTTTTTAGGTGTTCTTAATGTGTGGGGTTTAATAATAATAATAATAATAATAATAATAATAATAATAATAATAATAGAAGAAAAGTCGTATTGTTTTGCTGGCTTGTTATTTGATGCCCTGGGCTCCTCCAAGAGGAAGGGGAGTTGGTAAGTAGTAATAATATTAATAATCATCATCATCCCCATAGGTATGTGTATAATAATAATAATAATAATAATAATAATAATAATAATAATAATTTATACCCCACATATCTGGCTGGGTTTCCCCAGCCACTCTGGGCAGCTCCCAATAGAATATTAAAAACACCAAACACTAAAAACTTCCCTAAACAGGGCTGCAGCTCAGACTGACACTTCACGCACCTGACAACGTGGACTGTAACTCATGAAAATCAATGCCAATAATACATTTAAGGCGCAAGAAGACAAACAAGCGCACACACGCCATGCATTTAAATCACATCCAAAACCTATAGCTCCCCCCCCTCCAATCCTGGAGACTGTAGTTTGTTAAAGGGTGCGGGGAATTGTAACTCTGCAAGGTGAAGCGAGTTCCCAGGATTCTTTGGGAGAAGACATGTGCTTTAAACGTATGGTGTGTACGCAGCCTTTGCTGTTTTTGCTGTAACTTGCACTAATCATCCAACCCCTATGGTATAGTGGTTGCAACCTATGAGGCTGAGTGAAAGGGTGGGAAAGGCAAACAGAAGTCATGGATTGGGTGGCTGGAATATAGTACTGGACGACGACGACATTGATTTACATGCTTTTGGCTGCAAACGTGGACTTCTGCCTTTATTCTGAGTGGATTTATTAGGACGGTAGCTGTACCAAGGGCCAGATACAGACCATCGCGGCAGGCATCCCGGCAGAGTTATTTGTCTGTGATATGATGAAGGATCCTGCAGGAATCGAGAATTGTCAAACCTTCGGGCAGCAGTCAGATTTCTGTGACAGTTTCCAAATGCCCAGGACGTTTCTGTGATTTGCAAAACTGCCGAACTTGCAAGGACCGGCCTCGAAAATGCTATTTTTGGTTCCTTATTGCCCTCCCTTCCTGCTCTCGCAGTAGCCAAGATTTGAGGAAACTGGGTTGTGCTTTGCTTGGAGTGCGCTGGTGCCTCTTGAGATTGCCCCCTGGTGGGGCTGCCATTGTGAAGGGAAGGCCATTAACGACAGTGATGGCAAACAGGCAGGCTAATTGAAATAAGCAAGTTTGGAGAGAAGAGAGTCCTTCCAGCTGAATTGCAAGGAGGGAGGCTCTTCAGCAGCAGCTAAAACGTGGAGTAGGTGAGATGATACCTTCTATAGTTCTGGCTTGCCTGTGGAATATGGAACAGAACACAGGCTCTGGCGCTGTTCGGAATGAGGGAGCCAGACAGATGTCACTCAGGTTTATAAAAAGGAGTGGGGTCCCTTAGATGTTTGGGGCAAGGGCACCTTAACTCGGAGCAGGGCCTTTAGTGTGGCTACCTGTTTTGCGGAATAGCATTTCTGAGATTCGACAGGAGCCCACTCTCTGCATTTCTTCCCCTGTGTTGGCAAAATGACAGTTCCCCCAAGTGCCCAGCTCTGAAGTTTCCTTGCCTAGGTGTGCCCCTCCTGTTCTCCCAGGTTCTCCCTCCCCATTGCTCAATCCCCACTACCTACCCCTCTGCCAGCCAAAGATAGGTGGGCTGGCTTACTTAATTTAGTAGCCTTTTGTCTTCTTTGGAGCATCCTGAAGACTCCTGTTTTTCCAAGTACTTGCGGCTTTATCAGTTGTTAGGTGAGCTAGATGAAAAACTTGTATCATTGCGCTTTATTAACTTTGCTAGGGGAGAGAATGGGGACGCGGGTGGCGCTGTGGGTTAAACCACAGAGCCTAGGACTTGCTGATCAGAAGGTCAGTGGTTCGAATCCCCACGATGGGGTGAGCTCCCATTGCTTGGTCCCTGCTCCTGCCAACCTAGCAGTTCGAAAGCACGTCAAAGTGCAAGTAGATAAATAGGTGCTCTGGTTCGCTAGAAGTGGCTTAGTCATGCTGGCCACATGACCCGGAAGCTGTACACCGGCTCCCTCGGCCAATAAAGCGAGATGAGCGCCACAACCCCAGAGTCGGCCACGACTGGACCTAATGGTCAGGGGTCCCTTTACCTTTACCTTTTTTAGGGGAGAGAAACCATAACTCTTTTTTCCCCCCGCTTGTCTGAGATTTCTATAACCTCACCCCCAAGACAGAGCAGTGGGAGGCCTCAAACGTCACAGATTTGCTCTTGCAAGCGCTACAGGAATGATCAGGGTCATGGGCACGACCGAGCCACGCTGGAAGGCTTGCGGGGAGAAACCATAACTCTTGGTAGCAAAGCACCTGCATTACATATTGAAGGTCCATGGTACCTGGCCTCTTCAGGTGGTGGGAAGAAGGAGAAGGAGAAGGAGAAGGAGAATTTATTCTTTATACCCCGCCCATCTGTTTAGGTTTCCCCAGCTACTCTAGGCAGTTCCCAACAGAATATTAAAAACACAATAAAACATCACACATTAAAAACTTCCCTAAACAGGGCTGCCTTCAGATTTCTTCTAAAAGTCAGATAGTTGTTTGTTTCCTCAACATCTGATGGGGGGGGGCATTCCACAGGGTGGGTGCCAATACCGAGAAGGCCCTCTGCCTGGTTCCCTGTAGCTTCACTTCTTGCAGGGAGGGAACCGCCAGAAGGCCCTCAGAGCTGGACCTCAGTGTCTGGGCTGAATGATGGGGTGGAGACGCTCCTTCAGGTAGGGCTGGGAATGTCCCCTTCCTGAAACCTTGGAAAGCCGTTCTTGCAGACCATAATAGTGAGCTAGTTGGACCAATGCTCTGACTCAGTATATGTCAGTTTCCTATGTTCCTAGTTTGGGTTTTGCTTTATTTTGTACCCTGCTAATCTTTCACCCCCCACACCTTCCTTCCTTCATTATTTTTCAAATTAACTTTTTTTATTATTTTGGATAATAAAAGAGGTTGTCTGGTTGCTTTAGGTCACTGTGGTTTTATCTCCCATGAACCAGGCTGCTTGGGCAACACACTCTAAAGTTTGAGCAAACAGGGAGTCAGAATAAGGTGGGCTAATTCTTCTTTCCAGTGATGATGGAGAGAGTCTGCTGGCTGTTTCTCAGTTCCCATAACAAAAACCTGAAGGCTGTGGATGTCCCTGAAGCCTGCAAGTTTAGGGAGTTATAAACAGGCTGATGGCAGTACTGCTTAAGGGCTGAAGATGTGGGTAGTGCTTTTACCTGCTCACAGAGTAAGGATGCCCCCAGTAGTCTCCATAGCAGGGGCATATTCAGCTACAGGGAATCAGGCAGAGGGCCTTCTTGGTAGTGGCACCCACCCTGTGGAACACTCTCCCATCAGATGTCAAGGAGATGAGTAACTATAATTTATAAACCCTTAGAAGGCATCTGAAGGCTGCCCTGTATAGGGAAGCTTTTAAATGTGTAATGTTTTACAGTGGAACCCAGTTGTTAAATGTCTCCATTGACGCACTTTTCGGCTTTCAAAAACTGAAAACCCGGAAGTAACTGCTTCGGTTTTCCAACGACTTTCAGAAGCCAAATGTACCTCACAGCTTCTGTGTTGAGTTTGCCTATTGTATTGAGGCTTCAGCTATCAGTTTTTGGTTTTTGAACATTTCGGGAGTCGAACGGTCTTCCAGAACGGATTACATTCGAAAACCGAGATTCTGTTTTTATATATGTTGGAAACCACCCAGAATGTCTGGGGCAACCCAGTCAGATGAGTTGGGGTATACGGTAAATAATAAAATTGTTGTTGTTGTTGTTACAAGCTTACACCAGGTTATTGGGCTTGATTGGTGAGGATGCTGAGAACCCCCTGAAAAAGATCCTTAAAACACACATACTCCTCATAGAACTACAATTCCCAGAGTTCCACGAGGACTGGAGATAATTCTGGAGCCAGTTTAAGTCTCTAGCCCTAATGTATCACGAGAGGACCCTTATCTGCAGGTCCTGCCCACAAGAGAGTCTGCTCCACATGTGCGTTCCTGGAAACAGCTCAGTTGCACTGTGTCACGGCTGGTTGCCTGACCCTCTCTCTCCCTTCCCTGGTGTCTCATTGCCTTGGTACCCACACAACATCTCCTCAGAGGTTTGAGATGAGCACATCTTGCCTACAGGTTCAGGGATAAGCTCTCCCTTTGGTGTGGAGTCGAGGAGGGACAGGAAAGGCCCGATTTCAGAGGGATATGAAATTACTGTAGCAACGTCTGAACTGTTCTAGGAGATATGGCAAGGGAGAAGGTTGAAATAAGGAGTGTTAAGAGAGGTGTAAAATAATAATTCAGGAACACAGAAAGCTGCCTTTTACTGGGTCAGGAAATTTATCCACCCAGTTCAGTGCTGTCTGCACTGACTGACGGGGATTCTCAACAGGGTTTAAGGCAGGGGACTTCCCCAGACCTATCTAGAAATGCCAAGGTTTGAACTTGCTGGCTTTGCTCTGCTCCCTTGGGCTTGGGAGAATTCTGCTTTGAGCCTTGGAGAAGCAGGTCTGTTGGTGTTGGTCTCCTTGTCAGGGGTGCCAACTTGAATAAAATATTGAATAAAAATAAAATATCACACGATGGGGCATACCCACCCCATTTGAATGGCAATGTCCATCAACTTGGGGGGGCTGGCCCCCTCAAATATTTTATTGTGGGACGTCGAAGGGACCTCTCCCCAGTCTTTTGGAAATGCAGCATTATTTCTAGGTTTTAAGTTTTGCTTTGGAAATAGATGGGAAATTTCTAGCTACTAAAAACATTTTTTGTTTAGGCAACCCTATCCAGATGTATAGAATGTTGTCGTGTGTTTTAATCTGGTGTCAGCTGATTGCTGGTTTTAATTATTTTTGAATGTTTTGAATAGTCGTTTTTAACTTCTTTCTAACATATACTTTTATTGTTCTGCTCTTTCCGTAAACCACTTTGGGGTCGTATTACAATAAAGCATTATGTAGATTTTTATTTTTAAAGTATTTTTATTAAAGATTTCTTGGTTTACAAAAGTATGCGCAAATTCTCTTTTTTCAGGTTACATTTTCTACAGATCAGTTTCATTTGTTATGTAGATACAGTGGTACCTCGGGTTAAGTACTTAATTCGTTCCGGAGGTCCGTTCTTAACCTGAAACTGTTCTTAACCTGAAGCACCACTTTAGCTAATGGGGCCTCCTGCTGCTGCTGCACCGCCGGAGCACGATTTCTGTTCTTATCCTGAAGCAAAGTTCTTAACCCGAGGTAATATTTCTAGGTTAGCGGAGTCTGTAACCTGAAGCGTATGTAACCTGAAAGGTATGTAATCCGAGGTACTACTGTATTGTGAAATCAGTCAATCAATTAAACAAACTCCGCTTTAAAGCAGAGAGCAAGTGCTTAATCCTTTCCCTGCCAGCTGTTTCCCCTTTTAAACCCAACCCCCTCAAACTGCTTTTCTCTCTGTAGGGGAGCCTTCCTTTACTCCTGATTGTCCACTTCTGGGTTCCACACAAACTTGTGTAATGTGTAGTCTGGCCTTTGACAAACAGAAAGGCTTGGGTAGTTATGAATGCCAAATCAACTAATCACCTTCACCTAGCAACTTTCAGTGCTTATAAACCAGGGGTCAGCAAACTTCTTCAGCAGGGGGCCGGTCCACTGTCCCTCAGACCTTCTGGGGAGCCGGACTATATTTTGGGGTGGGGGGGGATGAATGAATTTCTACGCCCCACAAATAACCCAGAGATGCATTTTAAATAAAAAGGCACATACTACTCATGTAAAAACACGCTGATTCCCGGACTGTCTGCGGGCTGGATTGAGAAGGCAATTGGGCCGCATCCGGCCCCCGGGCCTTAGTTTGCCTTCCCATGCTATAAACCTTCCTATATTAATGGGTTCGCTCACTCGGGTTTTAGGCATGACCTGGTGTGTGTCTTAAATTGGTTTGTCCCGTTCCCCTGCTGTTTGTAAACTGCCCCACTGCCAACCCTCTTTTCCACACACCCCGCCCCCTTTATTCTGCTGTAGCCACTAGGCCTCACTCTTCTGCCTGTTCTGGCAAAGCCCTCGCTCTTTCATCATCCTCCTCACCAAACAGCCTTCTCTAGGATCCATTTCCAGCATCCCACCTCCACACAGACTGATCCTCTGGATATAGTAGGGAGAAAGAAAAATACCACTCCAGCACCATTCCTATTCAAATCTATGCAAATGAATCCAGGCGGCTGGGTGGGGGGAGAGGGGGGCGGGCTCTGGCTCTCCACTGGTGAGAAGTTGGGGGTTTGAGTCCAGATGCTGCAGGCGATGACTAACTCTGCATGGAACAAACAGGGTAAAAATAGTCAGAAACTGGGGATGTACCAGATGGTGCCAACTCCTGGGGAGACGATGGGGAAGAGGAACTAGGAATGTTGACTCCCCCTCCCCTCCCTTCCACCCCATACTGGGCATCTGGAGGATGGGACATGATAAAGCATTTTTACATTCCCAACTCCATTCTGCATCAATGGTTCCTCAACGCACCTTCTTCCTTTCCATTGCCAGGTTATTTCCCCACTCTTTCCTGATGCCAGTGTTTCGTGAATGCTTGCATTCCTAACCTTGCGAGCCTAACCTTTTGATTCCTAACCTTGAGATTCCTAACCTTGAGAGCCAGTGTGGTGTAGTGGTTAAGAGCGGTAGACTCGTAATCTGGTGAACCGGGTTCGCGTCTCCGCTCCTCCACATGCAGCTGCTGGGTGACCTTGGGCCAGTCACACTTCTTTGAAGTCTCTCAGCCCCACTCACCTCACAGAGTGTTTGTTGTGGGGGAGGAAGGGAAAGGAGACTGTTAGCCGCTTTGAGACTCCTTCGGGTAGTGATAAAGCGGGATATCAAAGCCAAACTCTTCTCTTCTTCTTCTTCTTGCACAGCTCCCCAGGTCCCCTTCCAACAGTACCAGGACTTTCCTGCCTTGCCACTGGTGCTGCTCCCTATATCTCACTCAGCCGTGCATTTTCAGTAGTTTCAGTGTTTATGCACCGAACAGTCGTGCTCCTTTTCTTGCACGTGTTGCACCATGAATCCGTTTCTGATGATCACTGTTGAAATCCAGAGCTGGTTGCATTTCACTGTGGTATGTGCAAACAGTTGAAAAGAGGTGTGTCGTCGCAATGCCATGCATTGTGAGAGTCACTGATGGCTTGGTGTCTGTGCAGTATGCACAGTGTGGGTGGCGCTGTGGTCTAAACCACTGAGCCTCTTGGGCTTGCTGATCAGAAGGTCGGCGGTTCGAATCCATAGCTGTCAACCTTCCCTTTTTTTTGCGGGAAATTCC